TTTGCTTACGACCCAAAGAACATGGAGTATCTGAAGGAGCTGCAGGTGACCGACCTCTTCTTGGACATGCTCACTGAGGAGAATGAGAACTTTGTGGAGTTTGGGATGGGTGAGGAAGTTAATCCTCTCTCTCACATTGTTTGTTGTGCAAATGCTGCCTCCTCATCTAAAATGATCCTCTCTTCTCGTGTGTGTGTGTGTGTGTGTGTGTGTGTGTGTTGTGTGTGTGTGTGTGTGTGTGTGTGTGTGTGTGTGTTGTTCTCAGGGGGGCTGTGTAACCTGAGTATGGACCCTGAATGCAGAGACATGATCCTGCAGAGCAGCGGGATCAGCCTGGTCACAAATCGTCTGTCGAGCCGGAGGGAGGAGACCGTCCTGTCAGCCATCACAATACTGATGAACCTCAAAACGCCCTCATCGCGGTCAGAGATCACTGATCCGGCCATCCTGCAGTGCATGCTGCGTTTCTCTCTGTCGGAGAGCCCCCGCCTGCGCAACCTGGCTGCTGTGTTCCTGCAGGACTGCTGCACCGAGGAGCAGGTGGCCCGAGCGGAGCAGCAGATGCAGGGACAGCAGACGGCAGTCGGCATACCGCTGCCCAAGGAATAAATTACAGCTGAGGTACTCATGTTGGAGGACCAGTGGACAAGTTTGGTCTCTGAGAGAATAAGAAATATGTCTACAGGCTAGAACAGCCTCCACTCTCCTGGTTTCAGTCTTTTCACCACATTTTGGAACCTGGTTGCTTGGATTTGCTCCCATTCAGCCACAAGAGCATTCATGAGCTCCAGTACTGATGCTTGGTGATCTGGCTCAGTCAGTATTGGATGGGGTTGAGGTCTGAGCTCTGTGCAGGCCAGTCAAGCTTTATAGAGCTGGCTTTGTGCACGAGGCTCGTTGTCATGTCGATACAGGACAAAAACATACACAAACTGTTGACGCAATGATAGAAGTAATATTTTTATTGTCTAAAATTTCTAGATTTTCCTTAACTGTCTACACTATTTTGGCCATATAGTGTATTTTTAATGCTAAAGAACTTTTAATCTAATGTTCCAATTAGAGTTTGGGATTGCAAAATACACTAACAAGATCCCTCTTACATTATAAGACATTTAAAGGACTGAAAGTGCTTCAGTACAGCAGGAGAGCCACAACCTGACAGCAGAACTGGGACAGCTTCATATTTTGTGTCTTTCAGTGATGCCTGCAGCCTCAGTTTTAATGATCTTCTTGTGCATCTTCATTCCCTTAAATATGGAATTTAACCTGCAGATACAAGCTGCTATTTTACATCAAAGTGCACGTCAGAGCTGTTTGAATTGAAGTGTTGTGCTCTTTCTTGCCACACGAGGGAGACTGGATAGAAGGATGAAGGGCTTGTTCTGCCTTAAGCGATTGGCAGCAGGCAGTGTGAGTGTTTAAGAGATTAATCCAGTTGATTATTAATGGCACAAAAACAGCATGTGAACAATTTGATTTTGTTGACTTCCACACTGATTGCCAAAAACTGTCTTAAGTGTACAGAGAGAAGGGATCACTGACTGTAGTATCAACATCACCACCTATCCCCCCCTCCCCTAAAAAAAAAAATGTACATTCCTTTGGCTTTGAAGTAATTTCCTAAGACCCGGTTCGGATGCTGGAGCATGTTAAAGCCAACTGGTTGACTCTTGCACTTGGCGCGCTCTGTAAGAATACCATGTCCTGAAACATTAAATCCAAACCCAAAATATGTAAATATTAAAAAAGGAAAAAGAAGCTAAATAAACCCTGATGTTTCTTTTGTAAAGAGCCAAGAGCGGTCGTTTGTTTTCTTCTGGGCTCTCAAGAACTATTCCTGGGCCGAGTCCTTCAGGTCTAGACAGAAGTCGACATCTGATCCTGCAGCCCAGCGTCAGTTTGGACTGCACATGTAGCCCGGTCAGACTCCAGAGGAAATTCTTTACAGCTTTTGAGTGTGTGTGTGTGTGTGTGTCTGTGATACTCGTTCATTTTCAATAGGTGTGTATTTGTTTCATTCCAAGGGGCTTAAAAAGGCGAGCACCTGCCACAGAGATCAATAAAAATACCTTCATCCTTCCCGTAAAAAGAGAAACACCCACGCCTGGTTTTAATAATGCCGTACAAAGTTTATTTCAGGTTGATGTAAAAAAGATTTTTATAGCTCGATTTTAAAAAAAAAAAGAAAAAAAAAAAGTTCTGCACTGATCAGCCGCCTTCTCATACATGGATCGATCTGTATCTGCTGGGTTCACATTTCTGTTACAGAGAACAGCAGGATGTTAAAGGATAAGGCTGGAATTAATCTATATTTATCTTATTGTCAACAAATCCCCTGAAATCACCAAAATTGTTCATTAGTGAAGATATAAATCTTTAAAAAACAGCTCACAAATATATAATTTCATTTTTTTAAGGCTCAGTAACTTCCTCAAACATGTGAGCACTGTAGTTTTTTTACTCAAACAGAAGGAAAAAGTGCATTTGTTGGACTATTTTCAGCGGCGGATTAATCCACATTTGTTGCTCTGAGTATTTACAGAAGCAGGACGGCGTGTTTGTGATTGAGTCAAAATAAGCTACAGTATGTGTGTGTGTGTGTTCACAGTAACAAAAGGAAGATGTCACCCAGTGCAACATGGGATTTGTTGACAGCTAGAAAAATACATAATGTGACTACAGTTATCCCTTTAAACAGGCGGTTGCAGGACGATACAAACGACACTGGGCTGCGTACCCAGCCATTGCATGTCTACGTGAGGCTCAGGTTGTCTGTTATTATTTCTGGAGATGTTTTAAGGTGTTCTGATGGCGGGGTACGTAATCCCAATTGGCGTTTGTGGTACAAGACATATAGTAATTGAATTCTCTCGATATGCGAGTGCAGCCCTCTCATTTCCCCTCCTTTAGTTCCAGCTGCTTCTCAGCCTCCTCACGTAGTTTGTTCTTCTGGATCTGAGAAGAGAAAGGAAAAAAATGTGCTTGAATGTTACTGCTCCAGGTTGTGAGTTAACAATTTAAAAGTTATCAATCAGAATCGGTCATCTTGGGGTTGAGAGAAATCACAATAAACACCAGTCAGTTTAAGAGCCCTTTAACATCTCTCATATTAGGTAATTGTGGGTAATATTGCAAATTAATGAGCAGGACTTTTTAAGAGTTTCTTCTTAGTACAGGACGGCACTCGCTCACAAACAGTGGTCAATGTCTAAGGCTGTGGTTCCCAACCTGGGGGTCGGGGTCCCCACTACGGGTCTCGAGGCCTTCTTGATTTTAAAGTGTACTAAAAAACTTTCTGTTCTTATTAAATGTGTATTTTTTAAATCTGTTGTGCTGTATCTGGAGCTGCTGCAGCAACAGAATTTACCCAGTGTGGGATCAATACAGTCTGTCTCATCTTTTTACTTTCCTTATAGATTATTAAAATAGCTTGGCTCAATCAAAAAGGTAACACAAATCTAGCACCTCTAAAGCACATGAATGAACTCACACCAATATAAAAATATATTGTTAGTTTAAATACATACCACAACGTGTTAATTACTGAACTTCAGAGGTGCTTTTAGGCCGATTCTGTTATCTTTCAACAGAGCCAGGCTAGCTGTTTATCCCTATTCCCAGTCAAAATGTTAAACTTGTTGTACAGTAACTATAACTGCAGCACATCATCTGGAAACAGTCAAAAATGCTGCGTTCAAGAGCAGCCTGCAGCAATATGTTGGCACTATCTGGAATCAGTTAGACCGGGTCTACAAGGGGGACAAACTAGTCTCCATTTAGTTTAACCTTTTAATGTAGATCAGAAGTATCCAGAATCTCAAAATTGGGTATTTAAAGGCAGGAGATACAGATCTGGTAATCCAGTTCAACCCAGAATCTAGATCAAATTGTTGTTAAGGATAAGGGTGGAGGGTTGGATCCAGAGACAGAGGTTATTATAGTTCACTAAAATGAAACTAAAAACAAACTAGGCATGAAAAAACATTTTAGTTAACAAAACTTTGACCAACAGTTTGACTGGACATCTAGATTCTGTAATCCTGATATTGTGCTATCTGGATCAAAATGATCCTATCTGAAAAGATCCACAAAGACCCACAAGAAACTACAAAAAGGGATGACAGAATCTGGATAATCCTGATCTGGATTAAAGGCCCCTGTGTCTCACTGGAACTGTGAACACCGAGTGGATTATCCTGCTGGGATGAAGTGAACTGAAGGAGTCTTAGATTGAGGGTCTGGTTCTATCTGATACGCTGCTTTGGGACGAGGTCCGCCGCCCCTTTCTGGGTTCACCTAACAGAACACGGTGTGCGTGCAGACTAGCTAATAGCTCCCTTTCCCTCCTGTCTGGGGGCATTCAGGGCAAGGCCTGTTCAAACACAGCGCCATGTCTACAGTCATTTTAAACGGCGTCCCACGAGAGAAACACAAGAACCAGAGCGGGGTTGGAACTAATTTATCACGGTACAACAGCCGCTAATTATAGATCTGTTTTCAGTTTGGATGTCATCTTAATAAACACAGTGAAATAAAACTCCAAGGTTCAGGAATGTACCTTTCCAGTGATGGTGAGTGGGTAGCTGGTGACAAACAGCACATAGCGAGGAATCTTGAAGTGAGCGATCTGAAAGGAGGGAGAGATCACGAGCAGAGTCGTTCAAACTGTTCGACCACGGAAGATGAAGTGATATAAAATAACTCATTACTGAATATTAAAGAGGGAATCACCTGTCCCTTGCAGTAAGCTTTGATCTCCTCTGCAGTGCAGTTCTCTCCGTCCGCCAGTTTAATGCAGGCACAGACCTCTTCACCCATACGGAAATCCTTAACTCCGACCACCTGACAAACAGAAAACCAAAGAAACATGTAGCTCTGCAGCGACAGAAGGAGCCTCATACTGTGGGTTTGAATAATAACGCGTGTCTGATAGAGTTAAAGCTCAATGAAATACTGGACAATTAGCTCCATAATGATGAATCTGAGCACGGGCCCGTGGTAGGGGACTTTGTTAAATGGTGATGAGACCTTACTCAAATTAAAATGCCACAAAGGCAGAGGATAATGGTCACAGATTTCAGAAGGAAATCTCCCACCCACCATCTCAGACCTTCATCAAAGGAACTGGCATTGAATTTGTTGAACAGTATAAATATCTTGAAGCAGTCATTGAGTCTGTAAGAAGTTAAATGCTTTAATGTGTCATTGTTTTAGAAGTCGTGTAACTTAAATATAAGTGATAAAAACCATCTGATCCACATTGTTAAGGTTGCTGGGAAGGTGATTACTGATGGCTGTCTTTAATCAGCAGGTTCTCCACAAGGCCAGGTTCCTACTGGACTTTATAAATCCACCTCCTGCACCTTGTTTGAGTTTGAAACTATTTTGTTCCTCGTGCATGAGCTGCTTAATTTGCACGTGTATTTTAATTTATTTTTGCATCTTATTATATTGTGTTTACATTGTTGTTGTATTACGGTTTACTGTATATTGTATGTACAGGAATAATATTTGTGTTTTTGACTGCACTTTGTCTGTTTTTTGTTTTTATGTTTGTGCTCCTCATTGTAAGTCAAGCTTCCCAAATGAACTTAGCTCAGTGTGCCACTCACTT